AAAAAAAAAAAAAAGAATAAATAAACATTAAAATAAATACAATACAATACAATACAATAGGTAACAACGAGGAAAAAGAGTTTCTGTGGAACCTGGAGGTCCTCCACGGCATCTGCAACCATCCCCTGGTCCGGCCCCTGCCCGCTTCCCTAACCTCAGGACCCTCACCCCCACCAGGCCCCTCAAGACTTCCATGCTTACAGCCAAAGACATCCTTCTGCTGCATCTCACCCCCTTCACCACATGAACCTTCCCCTCCTTCTGGAAGCCTTCACCAAGCCCCCCAAGACCGGGCTGCTGTCCCTCCCGGCGGGTTCACAAAGCACTCGCATCCCACTGAGAGTTTGGTCCTTACACTCCAGAGCCGAGGGCTGGGAGAGCCTCTCCCCTCGTCCACGGCCTCTACCACGAGGCCAGGGACCAGCACGGCGCCTGGCACGGAGCTGGCGAGGCTCAACACTCAACGTGGTTCACAGGAGCCCGGGACTCGTCCTGGGCCTGCTTTCCGAAACTCTGACGGCCTCGCTCAGCGACCTCACCCACCCAGGGCTCCAGCGTGCCTGCGCGTCCTCAGTGTCCCCACAAGGGACAAGGACTAGTACCCTCTGGTGCCCTCGGCGAGGCGGCATCGGGGAAGAGCAGACAAAACGAACCTGCAATCCAAGGTGGGCCACCGAGAACACACTTTCAAACATGACAGAGAGAGTTATACAAATTTCCCCACAGAAACGTGCAGCACCCCTACCTCACTGTCGTGAAGAACAAAATACCCCGGCAGCTTACTCCCAAGAGCCCCTGAAGAAGGGGGATCACTCAAGTCTTACCTTGAAGGTTTTATCCATGGAAGCTGAGAGAAGCATGTGACTCTTGGCGAAGACTGGACACCACTGAATGCTGTTGACGGGGCCCCTGTGGCTTCTCAGGTGGAAAAGCACTTTCCTGGGAATCGTGGTTTCTCGATACGGACTGTCCAAGTATGGCTCAATAAACTCGGACACTCTGGGGGCCACACAGAGAGGGGCCGGGGCACGCCCCACAGAGGGACCCTGTGCCTCCGTATCTTTACTCTCGCCTGTTTCTGTGCTTAATGCCTGCGACTGTCTTAATCTTTTGGGGGTGTAGGGCACGACACAGTCCTCACACCTTTTCCTCTGAAGAGAGTTGCCATTTTTACCTGGGGTTTCAGATTTGGTTTGGGCACAGGACGATGGCTTGGGGGAGTCGTAAGTTCCCCAGGAGAGTCTCACCTGCTTAAAGCGGGCAGCTGCCAGGGGCACATGGCCAGCTGGAACGTGGCTGGTCCACAGGGAAGGTCGAGGAGGCTTGCCTGTGGGGAAGGTGGCTTCAGGCTCTGTTCTGGGCCACTGTAGCCTCTGGCTGGGGCAAGATCCTGGGTCACTTCTCCAGAGCCGAACCAGGGGGAGACGATGGCCAGCTGGGTCTTCATGAGAACCGTGCTTTGTGGGCAGTGCTGCCCCTTCTGTCACACCTGGGGCTTCTGATGCAAAATCCTGCCCACGAGGTTTGACCACATCAGAGGTGTCCTTCACCTGGCCGGCAGCATTAAAACTTTCCGCAGGTTCAGTCTCAGCCTCTGACTCTGAGTCATCATAAGCCACCAATGAGGCCATTGAAGACACAGTTTCTTGCTATCGTTGGAGGACAAACTACCTAAGACCAAAAAAGTCAAATGTCAGAAAATACGCATGGAAGAATATTTACCACCACACGTAATTAAAAGAAAACATGCCACCTAGCAAACCCATGATTGGAAAACTCTAGGAAGAAACACATTAAAAAATGAGGGCTTTTGGGGGTCACCAGGGTGGCTCAGTCGGTTAAGTATCCGACTGGGGTTCAGGTCATGATCTCACGGTTCGTGAGTTCGAGCCTCACGTCGGGCTGTGTGCTGACAGCTTGGAGCCTGGAGCCTGCTTCGGATTCTGTGTCTCCCTCTCTCTCTCTGCCCCTCCCCTGCTCACGCCCCCACCTCTCAAAATAAACATTAAAAAAGATAAATAAATCAAAAAACATTTTTTTAAATGAGGGCTTTTCTACATACCAGGCATAACGAGAAGATATATATTGTTTTTTCAAATGAAGACTGGAATACCTGGGAATAACTTTAGCAAAAAATTAGCAAGATCTATAGGAAGAAAACTAAAACTTTATTGAAAGACGTAAAAGAGGACCCGACTAAATGGAGACAGGCTGCCTGTACAGAAAGATTCAGGACTTTAAGATGTCTTTCATAAGATCAATTTGGGCCTTTGAGGGTAGGTCTGAAAATACTGAAATGGGAAGAGGTCCAGAACCCACCAAGTGGGAAAAGCATGTCACCTGTACCTTCCTCCACCCCTTGTGCTCCAGTCCCTCCTTTACTCTCGCCCCCCACTGCCTAGATATCCTGTCTCAACAACAAGCCAGCTGGGGAGACAGACCCACAACACAAGACTAGGGTGTCCAAGCAACCAATCCCCCCCAGTTTTGAAGGTGTGGTCTGAGTCCCCCAATTTCACTCCAGACACACACTGACACAGCAGTGAATCTCCCCTTTCTAAAAGATCCTTCCTGGGACACCTGGGTGGCTCAGTCAGTTAAGCACCTCGCTTGAGCTCAGTCATGATCTCGCAGTCCGTGAGTCTGAGCCCCACATCAGGCTCCGAGCTGACAGCGCAGAGCCTGCTTGTGATTCCGTCTCCCTCTCTCTCTGCCCCTCCCCGACTTAAGCGTGCACGCTCTCTAAATAAACAAATAAACTTTTAAAAAATTCTTTAAAAGATTCTTCCTGAAATTCTGAGCCATCATACACAATAAATTTCTGCCACCTAGTTTCTAGAAAGAAGTACTTCAGTCTGGAGTCGCATTGAATGTTTTTTTATATATATTAAGTATAATTTATTGTCCAATTGGTTTCCATACAACACCCAGTGCTCATCCCAACAGGTGCCCTCCTCAATGTCCATCACCCACTTTCCCCTCTCCCTCAACCCCCATCAACCCTCAGTTTGTTCTCAGTATTTAAGAGTCTCTTATGGTTTGCCTCCTTCCCTCTCTGTAACTTTTTCCCCCCTTCCCCTCCCCCATGGTCTGCTGTTAAGTTTCTCAGGATCCACATGTGAGTGAAAACATAGGGTATCTGTCTTTCTCTGCCCCATTCAGTGCTTTTAAGACGAAGCACAGTCAGGAGGAAGACAGGGATGCCCAGCACATCCAGGACAGCAGATGGCGCAGTGGAGCAGCGCTAAAACTTGGCAACCCGCCAACTTCCAAGAACGCCCCACCCTGCCCTACCTTACTGTACCACGCTGAACACCTACTCCCACACATGGGGTCAGGTCAGCACCAGAGATTCCCTCTGGGTCCTCTGTTAAGCCACTCCAGACAGCCTACCACCAGCTCTTTCCCTGGGCGGTGGGTACCAAAGGGTACCCATCACCTGAAGGGTCCCACTGCCTAACACGCTACGTCTTCATTCAACAAATGTCTGTAGTCTACCTCCTCCAAAACTTGCACCTCCACCTGCAGCCCAATCTAGGCAGGTAAAATAAAACTTCTATAACTGGCCAGCGTATCTCAAGCAGAACTAATGTAAAGGACTAACTATAAACTAACGGACTGTGCTCTGCAAACAACTTGGCATTTCTGCTCTCTACATACTTAGCCTGGTCCTGAGGCCCATCCTGATGAGACCTCTCACCTGTCTCGGCTCCTGTGCACAGCACCACACACCACAGCATGCCATTCCTTCCTGTCACAGGGAACCCACCAGGTTCCCACCAGCAGGGTGTCTGTGCCCAGCCGTGAGATGGAATCCCGCCCACCTAGTTTTCTGCAGCGGTCAACTTAAAGAAAAGAGAGGCCGATGGCTGGAATTTCAAAAGAGGTCTACGGCAACAGATCAGAGAGTAGTGGGGCTGGGGCCCATTAGCCCACTTCCTAACAAGGCAAGGCAGCAAGGACTGAATGAATGCAGAAGGGTGGATGATAAGGCTCCCAACACTACCTGCTTCGTGGACGCGTCGTTCATTTATTCGATATTGATGGAGCATGCGCTACTCACCAAGCCCCACCCCAAGCACACCGTAGCAAGCGACACAGTGAAGGATGCCCCGTGCTCACCATGCTCACATGCCGGCGGGAGAGACAGACCATAATCAGGTGAAATACAGGGTGTGACGTAGTACGAAATCCTAAGGAGAAAAGTAAAACAGGACAGTACAGGTGGCGGTGAGCTTGGGGCTGCAGTTTCCTCTAGGGTGGCCGAGGCAGACCTAAGACAAACGGTGACATCCGAGCGATTAATGCTCTGGAGGAGGTGAGGGAACAGAGGTGGTGAGAAGCACTGGAGAATGAAACAGCAAAACTAATCAAATGGGGCAACAGAGAAGGAGGCAAGGGTGATTCAAGAAAAACATGCAAAAGTGAAAAAGAATGGGAAACATCAGGAACAACAGAAACTTTAGGGGGGGGGGAAGTGCTGCCTTTTTTGTTTCTAAGGCAAATGGGGAAAAAAAGGGAAAATATTTCACGGTGTGGGGACGTTCAACTAAGACAAAGAGGTACAGGGAGAAAGGTAAGAGCATTGGAGAAAGGAGGCTACAAAACGGGGGAGTGGCCCTGAGAGTCACTAGCACGTCAGCTCCACGAGGACAAGACTCCTTGTGTTTTGTTCACTGTTTGATCCCCAGCAACTAGAAATATTTGTGAAATGCAACCCGGTGGGAGGGGGGCACAGAGAAAAGTAAAAGAAATAGGATATTCTCCTTCAACAAACATATCCTGATTACCTACTCTGTGCCAAGCCTTATGTTGGGTCTGGTGTGTACAGCGATTAAACACACAACACGGATCCTGCGCCGGAGGCTACAGACCGAGGAAGGCAACAAAGAAGATACGACCAGAGATGGGTTTTGAAGGATGAATAGAAGTTAGCCGAGCTGTCAAGAGCTGGAGGTGAGGCTGGTCCAGAGCACCGCGCATCCGGAAGGCAGCGGCGATGAAGGACGGGCGAGGGACGGAGAAAGGCCCGCGCTGAGGGGTGTGGTGCTCTCCGACCGCCGCCGCCGCCGCCGCTGCGGGGTTCCAGCCCCCTCCCGCCCCCGGGCCCGCCGCTCACCACACGCACCGGAAGCGCTCGGTCCTCCCGGAGGCAGTCCCGCCGGCACACCGCAGCCCAGTCGCGTTCCGCTGGTGCCGGGGCCTCCAACCAATCACCCGCGGCCTCCGCCCTGCCCCCGCGCGAACAGCCAATGAGGGTGCAGCCTGGCCGGAAGTGGTTCCGGCCGGAAGGAGTTTCCAAGGACGCCCAGGCCGTCCGTGGCTGAGCCGGCGGTGCTGAAGGGCCCGGCTGGGCCGGTAAGTGAGGGGATGAGGGAGGGCGGGAGGCCGGGGCGGTGCCGGAAGACCTGGCCCTCCCGGAGCCGCCTGCAGGCGAGGGCCCGGAGTATCCTCCTCAGAGCCCGGCTCGCTGCCCGCCGGGTTCTGGCACCACGAGGGGCGCGGAGGCTGGCACGGCGCCCCTCGCCCCCTTCCTCCCAGCGCCGGCGTCCCCGTCTGTCGCCCACTCCTGCCGGCACCGACCCTGCATCGTCTCCTACCTCTTCCCTTTCCCCATGGCGAGAAGCCCCCACTTTTAACGGGGCTCTGCCACGTGCCGGGGGCTTTGCCTCTGATATCGTACTTAGTCCCCTCCACGGTAAAGTTAGGAGGCTTCTTTATGCCCATTTCACAGATGAGGAAACCGAGGATGAAGCAGAGAGGTAATGTGACTTGCCCAAGGTGTTGAGATGCCCGAGCTGGGATTGAAACCCAGGCCCGTCTGACCCCAGAACTCATGATCTTTCCACTGCATTGCGCTGCCTCAGTGAACACCTGCAGGGAAGGCACAGTCGCCGTTCGGCCTCTCCACGGCTACACATAACACTTACTCACACTGATGCTTGGGTGGGGAAGAGGAAGAGGGTGGAGAGGTTATACGGAGGCCAGTCTAGGGAATGTATGGGGTGGCTGATGCAATGACCGGCTAACGACTCGTTTCTCAAGAGGGTTTCATTGGTCCCCACCCACCCCGCCCACCCCTGATTGGACAGTCTCCTCAAAGAGGTTGGTCAAGAATCTCAAGTGTTTCCGAGAAACTGAGTGATTTCTTTAAAAAAAAAAAAAAACCCTACGTGCAAATAGCTGAAGAGTGGGGTAAACAGGAAAAAAAAAAAAAAAACAAACAGAGAAGAGCCTTTTACTAAAAAGGAAACTGAAAGAAACAGGGGAAGACTATTAAAGAAGACCGCTGGCTGTACAGGGCAGTCTCAGCTCCTCAACTGCCCGGCGTGACCAGTGGCCACCTCTGCAGTGTCTCCCACAACCTGGGTATGTATTGCCATCTTTGCCAGGCTTGGAGCTTATTGGTATTTTTTGCCAGCCTTTTACCAAAGTGCTGGAAACCTGGGCTGGGGCGGGGCAGGGGAGGTGAGGAGTGGTCTCTCCCAGAATCAGGGCGTATCGAGCGTGCATCGTATTTCATCCCGTTGACCCAAGTTCATGTGGTTCACGGCTTCCCCAGGGGATGGAGATCTCGGGGGAGCAGTTGCCTGTTTGGATTTATAGCTTGACTTGCCACACTTCTGTGTTGGCTGTCCTGTGT